TTTGGTGGTGTGGGGGGGGGGGGGGGGGGAAGTTTAATTTATATATATTTTTTTTAATTTCAATTAATGAAAATAATATTTAGCTTTAAGTTTTACTTAAATCTGCCAATTCTGTCATTTTAAAGTCTGTGTAAGAACATGTAACAAGTGAAACATGGTATTAAATGAGAAAAAAATGTAGGTCAGGATTTGATTTTCTCCATTGATTTGACGGGATCATGAAAACTCAGAAAAACCAGAATGAAGCCAGGTGTTTGCAGGGGAGAAGTTAGAAAAACATTGATGTCAACCAATGAGAGAAACTGTTTCAGAGGCAGAGCAAGTTATTACATTTTGGTAAAAGATTACAAAGACAAACATTTTTTTCATTTGGAATAACATGCACTGATGAATCACAATAAGGAACATGTATTAACAAAGAAAATGGTCAGTTGTTTTTATTTTCTGCTCTAGTTCTTAAACCTGTTTTTTCATTTGTGAATATTAATTAAATCACATTTTCTTCATTACTTCAAATTTAATTGAAGTCCACAATATGATCCGGATGTGGAATAACATGCACTGATGAATCACAATAAGGAACATGTATTAATAAAGAAAATGGTCAGTTGTTTTTATTTTCTGCTCTAGTTCTTAAACCTGTTTTTTCATTTGTGAATATTAATTAAATCACATTTTCTTCATTACTTCAAATTTAATTGAAGTCCACAATATGATCCGGATGATCTTTATAAATTTAATGTCATAAATTGTAACATTTGTCAGTTTTGCATTACCAGTGCTTTATTAAATGAATAGTTTAACTGAACTTCACTAATGATGGGAAACCATATGCAGCCCTTAATATTTGATCAATAGTGAAGTATATTTGCTGGCACAGACCTCAATCAAATGCTCTGCAGCTGCTGTTCACATCTGCGCTGTGCCTTTCCATCACTTCTGTGTTTCAGTAGTTTTTGGGATGTTTTGTAGTGAGATTATTGTATCTGGACTTTATAAATGCAGAACATCTTCTGTTTGCGTTGTAGCTTTGATTTACTCCAGTGTTTTGGATGGTAATCGTGTTGCATAACCCGACGCCTGTTCAGATCACAGACAGACGGCGTCACATTCTGCTGTAGAATTTCCTCATGCAGTTTGGAATTCACGGCTCCGTCGTTGCCAGACATTCACACACGAATGCAGCCAAATCTCCTCATGCTGTTACACTCCATCTTGCATGCTTGAAAAATAATGTTTTTAATATTAATGTAACCTTACAGACAGACCGATCCAAACATGTTCATGTAATACATGCAAACGTTACACAGTGATTAAGACAAAATGTTTAAGTTGTTTTGAGACATATTAAAACTACTTAATTCCGTGCATTAGGTATAGCTGCACGAATTATTAAGCCATAGCAATAAATAAATAGATAAATAACAAATGCATAAATAATCTCATATAAAACATCACAAATAAAGTGTTCAAATACACAACCACATACATGAATACAATGTAAAACATTATGCAATGCAAAACATTGCTTGGAATTGATTGTTTCTTTTTATTATTGAGTATATTTCAGAAATGCATGCATTTGAACCAATCTGTTATTGGTTCTGATTGGTTGTGTTCCAGGTCTTTGGAGCGACGGCTACAGAGGCCTTTGTTGGCCAAATCCAGGACATTACCCAGCATCCCTCAGTCCCCCGCCGCCATCCGCGTGCAGCAGTCGGAGAAAGTTTGTGAACGTCAACAGCGCCCACATGTTCCTTCCAGCCCTGGTGGTCTTGAAGCATGTACGCTGCCTCCTGCAGGTATTGCGTTTGTGTTTATTTATTAAAACTGCACAGCCGTGTTAGCAAAAGAAATTTGATTGAACTCTCAGTTTTGATGATTTTGCTGTGAACTAGATGAAAAGCAGTTCAGTAAAGTGGCAACCAAAAAACACAAAGCTCCTGTTCTTGGGTGAATCTCATGAAAACATGTCACGCTCACAGTTCACTTCAAAATCAAATGGAAATAATTAATGTATTATTTATTTACCAAATTATGATTTCTTTTTTCAGTATTTTAATTTCCCTTAAACCTGTTTGATCTGTAATGAGATTTTAAATTTAATTTTTTGTGTTTTTTTTAAAACATTGCTATATTATAAAATAATCATTCTGTATTATAAAATTCTATAAAATAATTATAATTATTCTCTGTGTTGATTCTCATTCTACATTCATTATGATTACTGTAATGTATTTATTTTGTTTTAATTAAAGGCATAAATTAAATAAAGGTAGTAAATCAAATATTGCTATATTAAAGAAATACTATACAATTGAAATAATATATAATTTTTCACATTACAATAATATATTTTTTGCATTATAGTATTGTGAATTTGTAGCTAAAATTGTCATGAAAATGCCACAATGCAGAAACTCCATAAATAGACTTGCATGTTTTTTCTTTTGCTTTTAGGATGCTTTTGATTTAGAATTTTGATTTAGAATTGACTTTTATGTTTATGTTTTCAGTTTTCATGCTAATTTATGTTTTAAGAGTTTTGTTATTTGCTTTAGAATTTTTTATTGTTTTTTATGATGTGTATTAATATTTATCATTTATATTTACCTTTAATGTCTTTTTCTATTTCAGTTTTAGTCATTTTACGTCAACTTATACTTATTTATTTCAGTCAGTTGCCAAAATAACATTTCTAATTTTTCAGCTTTTTTTATTTAGGTTATTCATGTAATAATTGTATTTAAATTAATGCAAACCATTTTTAATAGGTTTAGTTTAGAGTAACAATTGAGAAAGTCAATTCTATCTTTTTTTTGCACAGTGATGAAAATTAGTAGCTAAAATTGTCATGAAAATGTCAATGCAGAAACTCTTATTGATCCAAAAATAGGCTTTATTTTCATCATATAATTATTACTTTTTACTGACTTTTTACGATCTAGTAAGTTTTGTGAAATTCTAAATTCTTTCGGTTTTCAGCGTCTGATTGCACAAGATGCCCTTCAGTTGCTCTATTGAGCAAAAATAATAAATGTGATTCAAAATGATCAGCGAGCGAGCGAGAGACAGAGAGTGAATTGATAGAATTGGCAGTGTAGTGTAGTTGTGAATGGACGACGTCTGGAACGGGAAGCTTCCACGCGGCACATTCCATTCACAACATGTGTGAGCTTTACGCCATGTGCGATTGTTTAGCGCGTTCGCCGTCTGCGTGTACTCCATATTTACTTCAGCCTGCACCACTCTGCAACCCCCCCCCCTCACTCTCTCTCCCTTTCTCACGCTTTTCTCCTGATTCTCACAGCTGAGCTGCTCTTGTGTAAAGCTTCTGTGAAGGATTTTTTCACTGTCTCTCAAATGTTAAACCTAAAGTCTTTGGCTTCCCCCCCATTCTAGTTGCTTAGCAACTGTCATTGCCAACAGCAGAGCATGGTGGCGTTTCAGCACACACACACACACACACACACATCCCAGCCGTCTCTCTCAGTGTGTTTGACGTGCTCATTATGCTGGGATCATGCCAAACGAGGGCCATAATATCTGGTAGAAACTCTGACCCAGATTTGACTGACTCAAGTCTAATAAACATGAATAACTCTGTTCCAGTGGCCTGACAGCTCCCTAATGTCCTTATCTGAGAGTCTACACCCGTGTTAACAGATCTAGCCGGATGCCTGGGAATAACCAGCAGTGAAATAAGGTTATAATATGTCTTGTGTGATATTTGACTGATGTGTGATCAGAATCGTACCGTCTGTCCATCCTCAGGCGAGATGTGGCGGCTGGAAGATGAAAACGAGGCCGAAGTCGCTCCGGGTGCCGTCGACCCGCGGCCGCGCTCTCAGTCGCCGTTCTCACATTTCCGGCGGCGGGCGGCATATCTGAGGAAAAGCATCTCGGCTGACGATCACCTGGGAGAGTCGGAGTTCGAACCCGCCCAGCCGGAGAGGAGGAGCTTCGCCGATCCAAAAGTCAAACTGAAGAGGAAGTTTGTAAGTAGTTGTAAAGAAACTTTGTTTCTTTAGAGGGACGGTTCACCCAGAAATGAACATGCGGCCATTATTTACTTAACCTCATGTTGTTCAAAATCTCTATGTGGTTATTTATTTCTGTGGAACCCTAAAGTTTTCCTTCGCTGAAGTGCCCAAAAATAATTTTTATGCAAACTGGTACAAGAACTTGAAATTAAATGCAAACGCAAATGATATTTGAGACTTGGATTAATTAAAGATTTTAAAATATTTTTGTCTTTTTTGCTCACAATGGATGCATTTATTCGATCAAAAATTTTAAAATATTATTACAATTTAAAATAACTTTTTTCTTTTTTAATATATTTTAAAAAGTAATTTATTTCTGATCAAAGCTGAATTTTCAGCATCATTACTCCAGTCTTCAGTGTCACATGATCTTCAGAAATCAGTATAATATGCTGATTTGCTGCTCAAGAAACATTTCTGATTATTATCAATGTTAAAAACAGTTTTTGTTTAATGTTTTTGTGGAAACTGTGATGCTCTACTTCATACATTTAGGGTAAGTGGAAGTGGTAAGAAAAAATAACTTATTTGTCAAATTGATCAAAAGTGACAGTAAAGACATTTGTTGACAAAATATCTCTATTTCAAATAAATCCAGTTCTTTTGAAATTTCTATTCATCAAAGAATTCTGAAAAAAAAGATCATGGTTTTCACAAATACTGTATGTTATTTTCAGCATTAATAATAATAATAATAACAACCATTTTGTAATATTTGAGCAACAATAATAAGTTATAATATTTGAGCAGCAATTCAGCATATTAGAATGATTTCTGAAGATCATGTGACACTGAAGACTGGAGTAATGATGCTGAAAATACAGCTTTGATCACAGAAATAAATTACATTTTAAAATATATTCACATAGAAAACAGTTATTTTAATTTGCATTTATATTTCACAATTTTACTGTATTTTTGATCGAATAAATGCATCCATGGTGAGCAGAAGAGACTTCCTTCAAAAATGTTACACAAAGTAAATAAGAACAGAATTTTCATTTTGGGAGAAGTAATTCCCTTAAAGTCGTGTTTGAAAATGCACACAGAGGGTTTTGTATGAATCTTTAATGTAGTATGTATAATAGCATGAAAGTCGAGCCCTCATTACCTGCCTGCGCCGTGTAATAGAGGCTCAGGTGTTCGAATGCTACCTGACATGTGGAGAGGCTTCAGAAAGCTGAAGACAAAACCAAACGCTGTATGAGTTTCACTGTCAGGATGGGCTCTTCTCTGGACTTAATGAGTCGTCTGTGTTTAGGGGTAAGATGTCTTTAGGGATGGCTGCCTGTCTAATATTGTATAACTAGGCTGGTTTAGGGATTAGACTAATTTCTTAGCGATACATTGAATGCAGCCTTTCAATAGGATACAGTAAATAAACTAGATAACTATAAGCTCACAAGAGCATCATAGTCTTCATAAAAATGGTGATGTACAAGCTGTGTATAAAAACAGAAATGTTGCTCACAGCAGGCAATATCAAGTCAGACAGTAATTGTCTTGAAATTTATTGTTGCAAACGGTCAATTTGTTAGAAAAGCACTTTGATGGCTGTAGCAGCGGGGCTTTAAATGGGATGAATTTAAAGATGCAGCTTTTCAGAGATGGTTAGACTGTCTGAGAAGTTGTGTTTCTGGAAATTTTAGAGTTGAAACACTTGGTTGTTGAATGATTAGTCAACTAGTCTACCATCTCATCCCTTCTTAGATGTGTATTTTATAAGCTCTGTTCCTCCGGAGTCTTTTGTTTTCAGTGTAGGAGTGTTATGTTACAGTAAGCAGATTATTATTTTTTTCTGTACTGCATGGTTTAATCATTTTCACTATGCTGACACATTCAGAAATCGTTCCAGGGTTGCAGAACACTTTATTTTCAGACAGCTTAGTTGTTACAGTATTTGTACGAATAAACAGCTCTTTGGCTTAAAACAACTGTCGGCTTAAAGTTAGAGATTTGTTGGTGAAAATGGCTGGGAAAAGCTTTTTGTTGTGCATTAGCCTCCCGTTTGAATGGCCTGCTGGTAACGGATGATTGGACACAGTCTGTGGACTTCTAGTGAGCTTGTGCTTAATCTGCATGTGGAGATAAATGACTGCAGCAGGTCCATCAGGAAGATGTTTGAATAATTCATTATGGATATTCATGGGAGGTATCTGTCATATATTGATCAGATTTTGTATTTAATGCACGGTGATGCAGTAAGGCTGAATTGTTTTCTGTATTATACATTTATAGAACACATGCATATATTTCTGGGCTTCAAAGTTGCATTTGCATGGGAACTAGAGCTAAGAAAATCATGATAATTATTATGTTTAATGTTAATTCATGACTCAACGTGACTCAATAAAATTCAGCAATACAGTTCTCATTCATCCAGGTTGGACTAAATAAAATGTATTTGTTTCTCAGAAATACATGTCCAAGTCATGTTTCACCCCAAAATTACTAGAAAAAATATTTGAATAGATATGTTTAAAAAAAAAATGTTAAAAAAAGTTTTTGTGATTTATTTATTTTTATTTTTTTTATTCATTTTTTGTTTAGCTTTTTTATTTAATATTTCATTTTATTCTGTTTAGCTTTAATGGTTATTTCAATTCAGTAATTTTAGTACTTCAACTTAAACTCATTTTCAGTTAGTTGCCAAGACAATATTTTTTAATTGAAGTTTTTCAGCTAATATGTATATTTAATTTTGTATATTAACTTTATTTCAATTAACAACAACCTTTTAAATCTTTTTATTTTTAGTTCACAAAAACTCAGGAAGGGGGCCAACACTTTTTCACACCACTGTATATATAATTAGTATTATTTATTTTTATTTATTTATTTTTGAAATATGACCTGGACATGTTCTTTTCAGTTTCATGAGATTGTCTATTTAAAGGTTTATTGTACTAAAATAATGCAAATAAAAGAATTCTGAATAGCTGAATTAATCCTAAAGTAAGATGCTTTTTTTATGATAATATTGGAATAAATAAGATAATTTTTTTTTCTTTTTCCCAGAGTAATGTTTGTAGAATTAGTTTTATGAGAGAATAATTTTCTCAGTACATTTAGTGTAGGATTTTACCCTGAATTGTTGACTTTCAGAGGGCAGTGTCTGTCTTGTGTGTAGTTGTGTAAGCAGAGCTCTAGATGGCAGTGCTGAATAGGCACAAACTATCTCTGTCAGTCTGTGTCTTAATGCTGAACCAAACTCAAGATCATCACACGCCTTCATTAAGAGCATAAACATTTACTGAACATTTATAGAAATTACATATGCACAGAGGACGAGAAAAAAGAAAAATCTAGAAGAAATGGTGATGCTTAGCAAGTGTAATCTCTTTTGTTTGTGCTGTTTTCTTTAGATGCGTACACACACACACACACACTCGAGAGGCGAAAGGCTGGACATTTTCTCCTCGCAGCAGTGGTTGCTGTTGGTTACGTGGTGAAACTGCGGCTATTAAGGCTCATTATGTGTTTAGACGTGGGGCGTAGCTCCCAAAATCATCCTCGCACTCTTCCCTCTGAAGTTTGTCCTTCTTTTCTTTACTTTTCACTCTGTCTGTTTTTTATCCAACGTGTCTTCCTAACAGAAAGCTAATAAAACAGTTTAGCTATTGCACTTAGTTAACCGATAGCTGCAGGTTAAGCTTTGTGTGTTTGTAAACTCTCCATTGAAGCTATGTTTGTATTAGTCAGAAGATTAATGAAATGCATGTTTGGCTGAAGGTTTGTTCATGTGTGAATGAGGATAAGTTATATGAATCTTTATTAAATCAGTTCGGTCCAATGAGAACTTGTGTACCGACTAACAGCTAAAATCAACAAACATGTTTCATTTCAGACATGCAGTAAACATTAGCCAGACCCGACATGTGATTCACACATTTTTACCAAAAATCAGAGATGAACGAGCATTTAAGGGTTTGTGAGAACCATATTTGTGAGAGGGGGATGGGATCGGCATTATGCAAACGCAAAAGAGAAAGAGATGCTCTGCAGGATTGAATTAGGAAATATGAGAAATCTAAATGTTGACTTCATTTTTGGATATTGATTTAATTAGATTACTCATTTGTAGTTCAGTGTGTGCAACTTTCTGCAGCGTTTTTCACTAGAGGCCGCAAACAACCATCCTGGCAACCATTTAACAACGTTCTAACAACAACACAGTAACACTGTTGCAGTTTTTGTTGGCAATTAACACTGAGATTCTTTTTAGAAAAACTGCAGTAGTGTTTTCTTGTAAAATGTATATTTCAATAATCTGGTTTATTTACAACTTCTATATATATATATATTATTATTTTTTTTCTTTTTTTTTTTCTTTGCAGTGCTGACAGCTGATTTAAAAATTGTTTATCGTCTCTGCTCTGATTGGTTATTAATTGATTAGAGATGTATGATTGTCAATTATGAGCATTAAATCATGGCAGCGGCTATTTGCATTGTGTAGATAGCAATAGATGCTAGTAAAAATTGCATATTTTCTTAGCAATCAATGCTATTTACACTAAGTGCAGATAGCGATAGATTCTATTTACACTGTTAAAATAGCAGGATTTTCTGCTATTTATACTACTTATTGCAGTATTACCTCAGTATTATAGTACATTATAAAACAGTATGCAGTAATAACGTATTGAGTGTAAATTATAATTTTATATATAAATTAAATAGATGCCACCTTATTGGGACAATAAAGCCCTCCCTGCACCTACCCTAACCCTACCCGATACTTTATTTTAAGCTTTTTGATTATTTCCTTAATTTTTATTGAAAATAAATGCCTTTCCGATGTGATATGAGATTTGAAAAGGGAGAAAAAAAAAGTTAGTCAAAAGGCGGATTCGAGCCCGGGTCGATCGCGTCAAAAAGACTACGATACACGCTTTACCATCTACTCCACTGAAGCTGACGATTGTCTGCCGTCTTCTATATTGTTGACC